ACTAGAGAAGTCGCCATCTGTGGTCGTTGCCTACCACCAGTCTGAATCACTATAGTACACGCCCCTAGGTTCGCTACAGGGGACTCTCCGTACCCGAATATTTGAACAGAGGTAGGGGTAAGACTCTTGTCTCCAAATAAGGATTTGTGAAGATACAAGGGCATTACGTTGCATACTGCGCCTATATTGATCTCGCATTCAACCTCATATATGAGTCCTCCACTTGCAGTACTTAACCAAAGAGGCTCGATGTGCTTGCTTGAAGTATCATTGATACTCTTCACATGAAAAGTCTGAATATGGTGAAACATTTTGTGTTGGTTGTCCTGTGGTACTTGTGGACCGAACATTATGCGGTAGCCCTGTGGAGGATCACGAACTGAAATCCGACTGGCACTGGCTTCTGTTTGCGGGGCTTGTAAACCATGTACTTGAACCTGCTTAGGTTCACCAGTTGTACCTTGTTTACCTGTTTTGCTCTTGCAGCACTTTTTGTAATGTCCTTTCTTTCCACACTTGTGACAAGTAACATACTTGGCCGGACACTGCGATCTGGGGTGAGTAGGCTTTGCTCCACAACAAAAACAACTTTGTCTTTTTGACTCACCATGCTCTTTATCTTTAGACGTCTTTACTCTTATCTCGATTTGACCACTCCGTTGTTTTCCCGCCTTTTTGATGCTTTGCTTGCACTTTGCTGTGGTTGCAGTACTGAGAGTCTGCATAATTTGATCTTTGACAATCGCTGTTGTATAGGAGAGTTGCAATTTCGATCACTTGTTCGGCGGTAAGGAAGTCCTGGTCTTCTTCCAAACACTTTTGATAAACTTTTGGATTCTTTAGACCAAGGAGAATAGCGTTCCTGAGAGCCATGTCCTCTGCGCCCTCTGGCCATCCACATGCATCAGTGACTTGCCTGCACTTTTCGATGTACTCTGGTAATTCCATATCACCTTGAGTGAGCACTTTGTACTGTGTAGCCGCGGCTAGTTTGCTCCCGCTGTGGGCTTGCATTGCTCCTCCACCTTTCTGAGATGTATCTCCCACTTCTTCTGATCATCGGGTGGAATTGTTGCCCTGTCCAAAATGGCGCCCGCCACAGAAGAAACAAATGCCATCCCGAACTTCAAAAGCAAAGCAAACATTGTAACATCTTCAGACACGTTATGTCGATTTTGGAAATGTCTGCAATGATCTTCCGAGAAAAAGTTTCTTGTTTGACTTCATTGTCTACTTCCTCTCGCAAGGAATCAATCGAAAAGGCAGAATAATTTCGCCGCTTCGCCATGTTCAATTCAGATGAATAAGTAAAGTCCAGTCCAAGTCCAGTCCAAGTCCAGTCCAAGTCCAGTCCAAGTCCAGTTTACCCTCTGTTGTGACGGCTGCGACGGCTGTGATGGCGTCACACGCTCAAAGAACGAAATCGTACAGAATATATCGGGCATCAGATGCCGGGTCTGCCTTGATCATTACAAGACCTCTGCATAAAATTTATACCTTCTTTTTCCATTCTGGGAAACGTTCGTGAAGTTTTCCGTCGTTTGTCTAATCCAAGATTGGTCGTTTCGCGAGAACTTCCATGTTGAGTGAACTGAGGCCTGTGAACACAAAATATTCGCTCGAACTCTGCGATCGTCGATTATCGATGAAATTGTTCGGCTTTCAGATTGTAGACTAGACTTTTACTCCTGAAACCATGTTCCTCAAGTGGTTTTCGTCTCCTACATAAAGAAATATATCCTGACAAATACAACCGTTTCGTTTTAGAGAGAGCAAGGTTTATTTCGCATCCTAACGGCTTTTTTAAATACAAATCACACACACTATGATTAATAATTTTTAGTATAATTTACAGCTAATTGGATATGAACAAAAGAATAATGCCTACTGGGAATAGCGATCTAAACAATCATGGACTAATTGAATATGCAATGGCATAAATTGCAACAGCCTACTTAGCAGCTTATTCAGAGGATGATAACCTTCTGGAAATTCTAGAGAATTTGGACAGTGTTTGCTGTCAAACCAGATGAAAATTAAGCCAGTATATGATGTATTGAGACATGCGTTTTGATTTGATTTTTTATGTGTTTCAGACCCCAGTCAGTCTGGAGGGGTTAACAGTTGAAAATTCTGTGGACCCTGTCTTAGAAGCAAAGTACAAAGAAAAACTTTTTACACAGGTTAGAAGATTGCTTGTACATGTTGTTAAATGTATTGATTAAGTGTGCTACAGTTTGGTTCTCTTGGTTTAAACTCAACAATGAATTAAAACAACAATTGATTAATTTTACTACATATACCACAAGTAGTTATCTGTCACAAGTCATATTCATTTTGGCAAATCTAGTTCTTAATAGTCCTTCAACAAGTACAATAAAGGAAAATTTAACCCAGTCCTTTAACAAGTACAATAAAGGCAAATTTAACCCAGTCCTTTAACAAGTACAATAAAGGCAAATTTAACCCAGTCCTTTAACAAGTACAATAAAGGCAAATTTAACCCAGTCCTTTAACAAGTACAATAAAGGCAAATTTAACCCAGTCCTTTAACAAGTACAATAAAGGCAATAAATAAGTACAATAAATCCCGTGACATCAAAAGTCACGCATTGATCCTCAAACAAAAGTTTTGAGGTAACAAGAGAGTAAATTTAAGAGCTGTTTTTGCATATAGAAGATAAATTTAAAAATGATTTTAATTTCTAGTATTTTGTGTACTTCATCAGACTTATTCCCTTGTGGTGGATACGTTTGAAAGAATAGACTTGGTTTTTGAAGACATAAAAACTGCAGAATCAAGGTTGCCAAGTCTAGAGTAGGATACAAGCTTGCTGCTCAGTTATATTTAACATTCAAGCAGTCCATTTTGTGCATTATCTACTGTATGTCAGTCAAGTGACGTGTTTGAAGGGCAATAAAATACACCTGACAAAATGAAATGAATATTGTTATTTGCTTTCAAATGCATGTTTGTTGTTCTTATTCTTTTAATTAAATAAGACAGAGTGGGGAAGGGGACTGGTACAGAAGGAGGGCTGGAAGGTAAGGAGGATCAATTTCAAGGGTGAAGTGGTGAGAGACCTGGCTGAGGTCACCAACAGTTTGTGAAATTTAAGACTAATCCTGCGTTGATTTGACATCATAAACTGTAGGGAAATAATCATTTTGTTTTTCAAGAAAACTTTGTGTGTGTGCTTGCGTGCGTGCGTGCATGTGTTGTAGTACATAATAGTTTGTTGGTGGTGTTGTCGTTGTNGTTTTTCTCTGTTTAGTTAAGACTTCTTACATATAACTCGTGTGAGTCACGGTAGCTGCAGTGAATTTTGTTAATTTGTGCTTAAGAAAAGCCCGCATATCGATAGAAATTAGCTAATTTAGAACGTTTTTTTTATAAACAAATTTCCTAATAGGTTCTAGCCGATCCACGGCTTGGAAACCCAAACAGGAATCTTAATTTTGCCGTAGCTAAAAGGCCTCAATGGAAACCATTATATCACTTCAAAATGCTATTGTAGGACTCTTGAAACGGACACTTTTCAGTGGGTGTAAAGGGGTTAGCTGTTGTAGTAATTTTAATAATTTTTTAGCTTTCTCGCTAACACTACTTTTTTATTGAACTTGATGTAAGTTTTAATTTTATCAGCTGTTTTATCTTTCCATATCAGTGGACTTAACGTCAACAGAGTAAAACTGCTTTTCTTTTAGTATTCAGATAATGTTCTTGGGTAAGACGCATAACTTCTTTGCTATCTTTTCCAAGCAGTGAAGTTAACTAAAACATCGTGCCCTAAATGTTTTAGCAATACCTGCAAATGTTTTTTCTGAAAAGCTGGCGTCACACCTGTCGATTTCATACGCTGATCGCGGTGATCGGCTTATAAAATTGCCGACATCTGACATGCTAGCTATCTGCAATTAAATACGCCGATCGCGGCGATGAAATTCGCCAATAAAATCGCCAGATGTATCACCGGCTTATAAAATGAGGTGTACACACATTCAATCCCCCACTTACGATTAACTCGTACTTCTTCCTGCGCAGTCGTCACGCGCTCTTCTTCGTTCGCCTGAAAAGCGCGAAAAAGTTATGAGCATTCCTTAGCCAGTTGGAAATGTTGATATATCAGCTTTAAGTAAACGCATTGAAGTGGATTTTAGATAATTCTCCAGACATCAGAGTCTGCTTAAGGGGCCAGTCCTACTTGTCTGTGATGGCTATCTCATTCAGTTTTCTCCTGGTTTGTCTTTCGGCTGGTAGAAAACTTGAATATTGAGCATCGAAAAGCAACAACCGCAGCGCACTAAGAGCAGTGAATCAAAGCAAAGTGCTAATTGAGTTGCAGTTTTTGGTCAAATGAACATTCAATCGTTCAATATTTGCTCTAGTCCTAGTGCTCAATCAACAGCCACAATGTCGTAGAACTGGCTTCTTTTTCCAGGACCTGAACGCGCAGCACAGAACAATTTTAACGTGAAGAAGTGTAAAGACCTGGTACATTTTGGCTCGTTAGTCGAATGAGTTACGATTTGAGACCATTTTACGCAAGGAAGAAAGTCAAATTTTCTGAGACCTCTGCGAGACTTGGAACCTAAAGGGGTCCTCTTTCGTTCATTTTAAGAGCCATTGCCACGATTTCTTAGAAATCGCCGAATGTAGATACAAGTTATAACTGAGAGAATTAGGGTGCTGGGAATGCAAACACAAGTTGGTTTGTTATTAGGTTACCAGGCGTTGGTTTTAAGCCTCTAACCACTATCTCACCGCCAATGTTCTGTTACTATTGTGGCCCGCTTAGTTTCCATCCACTTGACTAACGTTAAAAGCTAGGTAAGATGTCTCCCTTCATTTCTAAACCCCCTCAGGTATGGGTACTTTCATTTTCCTCCAACACCACCAAGATTAGCTAGTCTCTAACCTCTTACGAACCTCTACGTTTGTTGGAAGTACGTAGAACAATTTAGATAGGGTGGTGAGCTGGTGATGATTTACAGACACAATCTTTCCCACCTCCCTTTTTGAAGAGTGTTTCTTGAACCTACAAGCTTATTCTCAACTACTTGTAGACTTTCCTGAACGAAAATTGTCTAATTTGTAAACATGTTTACATCCATCTCCGCCTCGTAAAAGCTTCCTGGGGTAACTTTTCACGTCATACTCTGAAAGCAACAACAAAAATACTTTTTTTCCGTCAAAGAACTTTGTTGACGATGTAAAAAAAAAAAGTTTTTATCTATACCAAGAAACGCTGGTATAGTATCTTGTGGAACTCATCAAAATCTTATTGGTTAATGTAACCTCAAAAAGTTACCAATATATAGCGGAGAATACAATTCGAACACACACTTTCCTAGCAGAAATCACGGTTTCATTAAATGCGGTACGTAATCAAAATTACAAACGAAAATAAAGAGATCGGTGTGAAATCACAGATGAAAAGGGCGAAGTAGAGATTGAAGATTTACTTTGACTTACTTTGGTCGAGCTCCGAACGATTGTAGGTAACTCGTTGATAGTAGATGATTCGTAAATAGCACACAAAAATTTGGTAGTATGTACAGCAACTTATAGCGATGAAGTGTGAAATGCAATATCTAATACACGCGCACAAATGAAACTGATTGAAATAAGAAACTTATTCAGAAGAAATAATAATCATTAATAGACGTACATAAGAGGAAATGTAGACGAGATACGCTTTTCGAAACTAACAGTTACTCGCTCTCACCAGAACTTAAGAATTGTTTCATGCTTAGCGTGCGTATATCGAGTTATGGATGCACGCGGTGAGTTTGGAGAGCACGAGAGAAGCGTAAGAGTTGCTGGAGGCGCAGCCTCGAGCAACTCTAGCTTCTTGAGTGCTCTCCAAACTTCCCAAGTGCATCCATAA